GGCCCGCTAAACCCAGGGTTGTGAGTTCAATCCTTGAGGGGGCCACTTGGGGATCTGGGGCAAAATCAGTATTTGGTCCTGCTAGTGAAGGCAGGGGGCTGGACTCGATGACCTTTCAAGGTCCCTTCCAGTTCTAGGAGATGGGATATCTCCATTAATTTATTTTTTTGGGGGGAGGGATAGCTCAGTGGTTTGAGCATTGGCCTGCTAAACCCAGGGTTGTGAGTTCAATCCTTGAGGGGGCCATTTAGGGAACTGGGGTAAAAATCTGTCTGGGGATTGGTCCTGCTTTGAGCAGGGGGTTGGACTAGATGACCTCCTGAGGTCTCTTCTAACCCTGGTATTCTATGATTCTAAGACAAGGCAGTTGCAGAGAAGCTAAATGGATTCTTTACATCCGTCTTCACTGCAGAGGATGTGAGAGAGATTCCCACATCTGAGCCATTCCTTTTAGGGGATAAATAGAGGACGTTTGGGAACAAATTGATAAATTAAACAGTAATAAGTCACCAGGGCCAGATGGTATTCACCCAAGAGTTCTGAAAGAACTCATATATGAAATTGCAGAACTACTAAATGTGGTATGTAACCTGTTGTTTAAATCTGCTTCTGTACCAGATGACTCACAGATAGGCTTACTGGCCTGTAATTGCCTAACTTCAGTATGAGGTAAACTGGCTGAAACTATTGTTAAGAACAGAATTATCAGACACCTAGATGAACACAATATGTTGGTGAAGAGTCAACACTGCTTTTGTAGAGGAAAATCATGCCTCATCAATCTATCAGAATTCTTTGAGGGAGTCAAAAAGCATGTGGACATGGGTGATCCAGTCATTATAGTGTACTTGAACTTTCAGAAAGCCTTTGACAAGGTCTCTCACCAAAGGCTTTTAAGCAAAGTAGGCAGTCTTGGGATAAGAGGGTCCTCTCATGGATCAGTTAACTGGTTAAAAGATAGAAAACATAGGTAAGAATAAATGGTCAGTTTTCACAGTGGAGAGAGGTAAATAGCACGCTCGCCCAAGGATCTGTGCTGGGTACAGTGCTGTTCAGCATATTTATAAATGATCTGGAAAAAGGGGTAAATAGTGAGGTGGCAAAGTTTGCAGACTATATTAAATTACTCAAGATAGTTAAGTCGAAAGCTGACTGTGAAGAGTTACAAATGAATCTCACAAAACTGGGAGGATGGGCAACAAAATGGCAGAAGAAATTCAATGTTGATAAATACAAAGGAATGCACATTGGAAAACATAATCCCAACTACACATACAATATGATAGCATCTAAATTAGTTGTTACCACTCAAGAAAGAGAACTTGGAGTCCTTGTGGATAGTTTTCTGATAACGTCTGCTCAATGTGCAGCAGCAGTCAAAAAAGCTAACAATTTTAGGAACCATTAGAAAAGGGACAATAAGACAGAAAATATCCTAACGCCACTATATAAATCCATGGTACGCCCACACCTGGAATACTGTGTGCAGTTTTGCTTGCCCTGTCTCAAAAAAGATATATTAGAATTGGAAAAAGTACAGAGAAGGGCAACAAAAATGATTAGGGGAATGGAACAGCTTCCATATGCGAGAGATTAAAAAGACTGGAACTCTTCAGCTTGAAAAAGAGACAACTGAGGGGAGATATAATAGAGATCTATAAAATCATGAATGATCTGGAGAAAGTGAATAAAGAAGTGTTATTTACTCTTCACATAACACAAGAACCCAGGGTCACCCAATGAAATTATTAGGCAGTCTATTTAAAACAAACATAAGGAAGTACTTCACACAATGCACAGTCAATCTGTAGAACTCATTGTGAAGGGATGTTGTGGAGGCCAAAAGTATAACTTGGTTAAAAAAGAATTAGGTAAGTTCCTGGAGGATAGGTCCATCAATTAGCCCAGATGGTCATTGACACAACCCCATGCTCTGGATGTCCATAAACCTCTGATTGCCAGAAGCTGGGACTGGATGACAGGGGATGGATCACTCGATAAATTGTCCTGTTCTGTTCATTCCCTCTGAAGCATCTGGCACCGGCCACTTCTGAAATACAGGATACTGGGCTAGCTGGACCATTGGTCTGACACATTATGGCCATTCTCATGTTCTTATGATGGCTGCTTTGTCTATTCCACCAAATGATCTAGGAGAAGATGGGAGGATATGACATGAAGAAAAACAGATAAAGTTTCTCTGAGAAGTGGGTGAGAATATTTTACATAAGAACATAAGAATGGCCATACTGGGTCAGACCAAAGGTCCATCAAGCCTAGTATCCTGTCCTCTGACAGTGGCCAATGGCAGGTGCCCCAAAGGGAATGAACAGACAGTTTATCATCAAGTGATCCATGCCCTGTCACCCAATCCCAGCTTCTGGCAAACAGAGGCTAGGGATGCCATTCCTGCCCATCCTGGCTAATAGCCATTGATGGACCTATCTTCCATGAATCTATCTAGCTCCCTTTTGAACCCCGTTATAGTATTGGCCTTCACAACACCCTCTGGCAAGGAGTTCCAGAGGTTGACAGTGCGTTGCGTGAAAAAATACTTTCTTGTGTTTGTTTTAAACCTGCTACCTATTAATTTCATCTGGTGGCCCCTTGTTCTTGTATTACGAGAAGGAGTAAATAACACTTCCTTATTTACTTTCTCTATACTGCTCATGATTTTATAGACCTCTGTCATATCCCCTCCTTAGTCGCCTCTTTTCCAAGTTGAAATGCTCCAGTTTTATTAATCTCTCCTCATACGGAAGCCGTTCTATACCCCTAATAATTTTTGTTACCCTTTTCTGAACCTTTTCCAATTCCAATGTATCTTTTTTGAGATCGGGTGACCACATCTGCACGCAGTATTCAAGGTGTGGGCGTACCATGGATTTATATAGAGGCAATATGATATTTTCTGTCTTATTATCTATCCCTTTCTTGAGGATTCCCAACATTCTGTTCGCTTTTTTGACTGCCGCTGCACATTGAGTGGATGATTTCAGAGAACTATCCACAATGACTCCAAGATCTCTTTCTTGAGTGGTAACAGCTAATTTAGACCCCATCATTGTATACGTATAGTTAGGATTATGTTTTCCAATGTGCATTACTTTGCATTTAGCAACATTAAATGTCATCTGCCATTTTGTTGCCCAGTCACCCAGTTTTGTGAGATCCTTTTGTAGCTCTTCGCAGTCTGCCTGGGGCTTAACTATCTTGAGTAGTTTTGTATCATCTGCAAATTTTGCCACCTCACTGTTTACCCCTTTTTCCAGATGGTTTATGAATATGTTAAATAGGACTGGGCCCAGTACAGACCCCTGGGAAACACCACTATTTACCTCTCTCCATTCTGAAAACTGACCATTTATTCCTACCCTTTTTTTCCTATCTTTTAACCAGTTACCAATCCATGAGAGAACCTTCCCTCTTATCCCATGACTACTTATTTTGCTTAAGAGCCTTTGGTGAAGGCTTTCTGAAAATCTCAATACACTATATCCACTGGATCTCCTTTGTCCGCATGCTTGTTGACCCCCTCAAAGAATTCTAGTAGATTGGTGAGGCATGATTTCCCTTTACAAAAACCATGTTGACTATTTCCCAACAAATTATGTTAATCTATGTGTCTGACAGTTTTGTTCTTTACGATAGTTTCAACCAATTTTCCCGGTACTGAAGTGAGGCTTACTGGCCTGTAGTTGCCAGGGTCACCTCTGGAGCCCTTTTTAAAAATTGGCATCACATTAGCTATTCTCCAGTCGTTTGGTACAGAAGCTGATTTAAATGATAGGTTACAGATGACAATTAGTAGTCCTACAATTTCACATTTGAGTTTCTTCAGAACTCTTGGGTGAACACCATCAGGTCCTGGAGATTTATTACTGTTTAATTTATCAATTCGTTCCAAAACCTCCTCTAATGACACCTCAATTTGGGACAGTTCCTCAGATCTGTCACCCAAAAAGAATGGCTCAGGTTTGGGAATCTCCATCACATCCTCAACAGTGAAGACCGATGCAAAGAATTCATTTAGTTTCTCCGCAATGACATTATCGTCTTTGAGTGCTCCTTTAGCATCTCGATCGTCCAGTGGCCCCACTGATTACTGAGCAGGCTTCCTGCTTCTGATGTATTAAACATTTTTTTTGCTATTACTTTTGGAGTCTTTGGCTAGCTGTTCTTCAAATTATTTTTTGGTCTTTCTAATTATATTTTTACACTTCATTTGCCTGAGTTTATGCTCTTTTCTATTTTCTTCATTAGGATTTATCTTCCACTTTTTAAAGGATGCCTTTTTGCCTCTCACCGCTTCTTTTACTTTGTTGTTTAACCACAGTGGCTCTTTTTTGGTTCTCTTACTGTGTTTTTTAAATTGGGGTATAAATTTAAGTTGAGCCTCTATTATGGTGTCTTTAAAAAAGTCTCCACGTGGCTTGCAGGGATTTTACTTTTGGTGCTGAACCTTTTAATTTCTGTTTAACTAACCTCCTCATTTTTGTGTAGTTCCCCTTTCTGAAATTAAATGCTACAGTGTTGGGCCGCTGTGGAGTTTTCCCCACCACAGGGATGTTAAATGTAATTATATTATGGTCACTATTACCAAGCGGTCCAGTTATATTCATCTTTTGGACCTGATCCTGTGCTCCACTTAGGACTAAATCAAGAATTGCCTCTCCTCTGGTGGGTTCCTGGACCAGCTGCTCCAAGAAGCAGTCATTTAAGGCATCAAGAAACTTTATCTCAGCATCCCTTCCTGAGGTGATATGTACCCAGTCAATATGGGGATAGTCAAAATCCCCCATTATTATTATTGAGTTTTTTATTTTAATAGCCTCTCTAATCTCTCTGAGATTAAGGCAGGTACCACAATCTGGAAATGGCACAAATAGAAATAACTCGTTTGGACACTGCATCAGTTCCTAAGGGAAATGTTATGTTCAAAGAAACATTGCACAGCAGTGATGTGTTGTTGTAATCTAAAAAGTTGTGTTATTTTTCAGTATGACTATATGGGTTCAGACAAGGATGTTGTAACGGAGAAAATAGTCCAGCTTATTGGCTTTGTCAACAGTGTAAGTTACTGCCTTTTTCTGTTCAATATTCATATGGGAAATGTGGATGTTTTGATTCATTTTGCTGTGTGACTTTGCTAAGTCACCTCACATAGCCTAGAAGGTAGAGCCGGGGGCTGGGATCAGGACTCCTGGATTCTATTCCTGGTTCTGTCACCGACCTGCTGTGTGACTTTGCTAAGTCACCTCACATTTCTGTGTCTTTTTCTTCTGTAAATTGGATATAACACACCTCTACCCTGATATAACATCACCCGATATAACATGAATTCGAATATAACGTGGTAAAGCAGTGCTCTGGGGGGGCGGGGCTGCGCACTCCGGCGGATCAAAGCAAGTTCGATATAACGCGGTTTCACCTATAACATGGTAAGATTTTTTGGCTCCCCAGGACAGCGTTATATTGGGGTAGAGGTGTACTTATCTGTGTCCTACATCACAAGGGTTATGTGAGACTTATAATGCTTTGAGAACCTTGGATGAAAGATGCAGTAGGAGAAGAAAATATTATTACCACATGAAGTCCTGATATTTTACAGATGATATAATTCTCTGGTGATTATTTAGTATCAGTTTTCACCCTCAGGATACTCAGTCTGCAGCAGTTAGATTAAACACCATTTTATATTTTTCACCGCCAGGATTAGATCATTCACTCCTGAGAGACAGCCGAGACCCCAGGTACTCTCAGCCATCTGAAAATAAAGGGACTTGCAGTGTGTCCCCCTTTAGAATTTTTTTATTGTAAAAATACTCTGACTACCTTAATTGTGGGCACTTGTTACTGTTATGATATCCGTGATTATATTTCTGTCTTAAGCTTCCTTAGGTTATGTCTGATTGTGTATACAGTATTGGTAGTATGATGAGCCTCAATCTTGGCACCAGGATCCCCCAGATGGGCAATTTTCCAAACTCGACTTTTAACTTGGGTTAGCAGTGCAGTTTAAAGTATATAGGATGATCTGGGATTGAACTCAGACTGCTAACCTCAGTTGAAAGCCAAATTGCTGTGTCTGCACTGATATTTTAGCCTGAGTTAACTAACCCAAGTTAAGAATGCACCTGTTGTTTTTTTTTTGCAGTGTATACATAATCTTAGTTCTTCTTCGAGTGATTGCTCCTGTGTATTCCACAGTAGGTGTGCGTGCTCGCCACGTGCACCGGTGCCGGAAGTTTTTCCCTTAGCAGCATCCGTAGTGGGGGAGCACCGCTGCAATCCCTGGAGTGGCGCCGACATATCGTGCTATAAAGGGGGCTGCGTGCTCCCCCCACCCTCAGTTCCTTCTTGCCGCCAGTGAAGGTAGTCGGAACTTGTGCTCCAGCTTTGCTGCAGCGTTTCTAGCCTTAGTGGTATCCAGCTTTCCCTGAAGTTACTTGTTGAACTTTCTCTGTTAGTGCTGGGCTCGGGGCATGCCCCGTGGCCCAGGCTTCAAGTCGTGCGACTCTTGTCGCAATTCTATGCCCAGAAGCAATCCACACACTCAGTGTCTTCGCTGTCTGGGTGAGGCTCACATTAGTGAGAAGTGTAAGATCTGCCGCTCCTTCAAGCCGCGAACGAAGAAGGAGCATGAGATCTGACTCTGAGCTCTCCTAATGGAGTCGGCGTTTATCCCAGCACCGACGCGTTGAGCCGACCCCGCGCCGAGCACCTCGTCCTCGGCGCACAGCAAAGCGCCCCTGGCGCGCATCGAAGCGCCCCAGGCGCGCCATCCTGATTCCGCACCCGGTACCGCGTCGTTGGTGCGCAGCGAGGCCCCGTCGACAAGCCGGCACCGCTCCCCTTCTAAGAAGCAAGGGAAGACTCAGCGGCGCCGGGAGAAAGAACGGGGTGAGGCTAGCCCCGCGCTGGGCAGCCCACGATCCCCATCGGGACCGAGACCTCTGACTTGGGTGGCGCGGAGTAGTTCGGTGCCGTCCACGCACGCCTCGCCAGAGGTGAGAATGCCTTCGACGCCGGAGGCAGCTCAGGCCACATGCGACATCATGACGCTTCCGGTACCGGGAGTGCCGCTTCAGTCGGGACCCCGATCCCGTGGGAAGCCATCGCTCAGTGCCCATCGACCATCCCCGGACGTCTCCAAGGTCGAGGTACTGTCCCGAGTTGAAGGGCTGAGCTGTGGACCTCGGTGGGCCTCCACGCCGCGAGCAGGATCATCTGCGAGCGAGCTTTCCACCTCCACTCCGACAGACCGTAGGGGAGGCACTAAGCGACGGCGCTGCTCCTCTTCGAGCCTTGACCGCAGGGACAGGTCTCATCGTTGTTGGCACCGCTGTTCCCGCTTCGGCACCCGCCGTGGAAGGCGCTACGCCCGGAGCTCGTCACGGGAGTCCCAGGCACCAAGGCGTCGTAGTCTTGGGCGCCGGAGGCACTACGGGGACAGCACTCCCGACTCCTACCTGTCCTCCTCCAGGGGCCGGAGACGTCATGTACGGGACCGCTCCAGCCGTTCGTACAGCACCGTCCGCTCGTCCCAGACTTCGGCTTCGGCACGCAGCCGCCCCTCATCGAGCCGCTCGGTGCCGCAAGACCAGCCGGCCCTTCCGGGCCACCTCGTGTCCCAGGGCCAGGCCGTTCCCTGGCAGGGACAGTGGTGCCAGTGGGCACCGTGGCCCCAGGCACCGGCACCGCCGGGACACCACTCCGTGGTGGGAGCGTCCCAGGCCCAGCCGACGTCGCCGCCTCGGCACCGCGATGAGGCAGTGGGCACCGACCCTCCGGCACCGACTCGGGCCCCGGGTCAGGACGTCAAGCTTTCGGTACAGCCGGGTGCAGACGACACCGCGGCACCGGATGACTCCATGGTGTCACCACCTCCGGTCTCTCAGGAGGATTTCAAGGCCCACCAGGAGCTACTCAGGATGGTGGCATCAAACCTCCAGCTCCAGGCCGAGGAGATGGAGAAGCCATCGGACACATTGTTTAATGTCCTGACCTCCTCGACGCCGGGGCATGTGGCCCTCCCGCTCCATCAGGGAGTGGCCAGTATTACTACTGGCTTCTGGCAAACCCCGGCATCTCTCTGTCCGATCTCCAAAAAGGCCGAACAGAAGTACTTTGTGCCCACAAAGGGGCACGGGTACTTATACTCCCACCCAACTCCGAACTCTCTAGTGATGGAGTCGGTGAACCACCGAAAGAGACATGGCCAACCCGCTCCTACCCCTAAGGACAAAGACGCTCACAGGCTGGATTCCTTTGGGAGAAAGGTTTATTCGTCTGCGAGCTTTCAGCTCAGAGTGGCCAACCACCAGGCACTCTTGAGCAGATATGATTTTAACCTGTGGGTGTCCCTTCCCAAGTTTGAGCCCTCCCTCCACGAGAAGGACAGGAAGGAGTTCCGGGCTCTTGTTGATGAGGGTGCAGCGGCGGCTAAAGCGGCGCTCCAGGCGGCATCCGATGCGGTGGGCACGGCCGATCGTTCGATGGCCGCGGCGATTTCCATGAGAAGGGCGTCCTGGCTTTCGCTGTCTGGCCTATCGTCTGAGTCCCAGTCGATCATGCAGGACCTGCCGTTCGATGGTCGGGCCCTGTTTGCAGATCAAACAGACACGCGTCTGCATGGGATGAAAGACTCCCGTATTACCCTGCAGACGCTGGGCCTGTACGTCCCGCCGGCCAAGGACAAGCCCAGGCCTCACACGTCCGCTCCACAGGCTCGGGGTAGATATGAGCCCCCGCCTAAGAAGCAGCGGGAGCAGAGGCGCCGGTCACAACACCAATCCCGTTCGGCCCCTCGTCCGGGGCCCTCTAAGGCCAGGAGGCCAGGGAAGCAGCGTTTTTGACTGCTTGCGGGGGGTCACCACCAGGTTAACCCGCCCCCGCAGTTAATAAAGTTCAGGTTTGCAAAATGTTTATCTGCCTTCCGTTTGCGATGGTTCCGTATCGCTACGGACCGCTGGGTCCTCAACACAATATCCCTGGGGTACAGGTTGCAGTTTGTTTTGCCCCCTCCCAATTGCCCTCCGGCCAGGGAGTCGGCGGAGGACCCGGAACATACGCTCCTCCTAGGTCAGGAGGTACAGCGCCTCCTCTCCCTGGGAGACGTGGAGAGGGTGCCTTGGGAATTCCGGGGCAAGGGGTTTTATTCCAGGTATTTCCTTATCCCAAAGGCGAAGGGCGGGCTTCGGCCCATCCTTGATCTGCGGAAGCTCAGCCAGTTCTTGGTACACTGCAAATTCCGCATGGTGTCCCTAGCCTCTATTATTCCCTCTTTAGACCTGGGGGATTGGTTTGCAGCGCTGGACCTTCAGGATGCCTACTTCCACATCCACATTTTCGAGGGTCACAGGTGCTTCCTCCGTTTCCTGGTGGGTCAGGACCACTACCAGTTTACGGTCCTCCCCTTTGGCCTCTCGACGGCCCCCAGGGTCTTCACCAAATGTATGGCGGTGGTAGCGGCCCACCTCAGGAGGAGAGGGCTGCAGGTCTTTCCCTACCTGGATTGCTGCTCAAGGGCAAGTCCCGGTCCCAGGTGCAGCAGCGAATATCCCTCTTGCTACACACCTGCTCCGCTCTGGGCCTAGTGGTAAACGAGGAGAAATCCACGTTCGTTCCTGTCCAGCGCATAGAATTCATAGGAGCGCTGCTGGATTCCCAGGCGGCCACGGCCTCCCTTCCAAGGGACAGGTTCGAGGTGCTCAAAGGCCTCGTCGCCTCGGTCACAGCCTTTCCCGTAACCACGGCTCGGATATGCCTTCAAATCCTCGGACACATGGCAGCATGCACCACAGTGGTGCAACACGCCAGGCTCCGGATGAGGCCCTCCAACTCTGGTTGGCCTCCCGCTATTCCCAGGCCAGGGACGGCCTGGACAAGGTTGTCACGGAGTCGCCAACGGTGGTTGCAGACCTCCAATGGTGGTCCCTCCCGAGCAACATGCTCTGGGGTATCCCCTTCCAAGACCCCTCTCCCTCACTAGATCTAGTGTCGGATGCCTCGGACCTGGGCTGGGGAGCCCACGTGGGGGACATCAGGACCCAGGGTATGTGGTCACCCGAGGAACTGACCCTGCACATAAATGTCAGGGAACTCAGGGCTGTGCGCCTGGCGTGCCTGGCCTTTCGCCAGCACTTACAAGGGAAGGTGGTCAGAGTCCTCACGGACAACAGCACCGCAATGTACTACATCAACAGGCAAGGGGACACGCACTCCAGGGCCTTATGCCAGGAAGCCCAACTCCTGTGGGAGTTCTGTATAGCCCACAACATCCTCCTCTGAGCGTTCCACCTACCCGGCGAGAGCAACACGCTCGCAGATCGCCTGAGCAGGGTTTTCTCACATCAACACGAGTGGTCCCTGCACAGGGAGGTGGCAGAATGGATTTTCCTTCAGTGGGGCACTCCCTAGGTGGACCTATTTGCCCCTGCTCAGAACCGCCTGTGTCCCAGGTTCTGCTCCAGGCTGATAGAAGGCTATGGGGCCATGATGGACGCCTTCCTGCTCGATTGGTTGGGGCCCCTGATGTACGCCTTCCCGCCCTTCCCCCTCATAGGCAGGGTCCTACAGAAGGTGAAGTCAGACAGGGCGAGAATTATCCTGATAGCCCTGGATTGGGCCCGTCAACATTGGTACGGGACCTTACTGCAACTCTTGGTGGCCCCCCCTCGCAGGCTGCCGCTCTGCCCGGACCTCCTCTCCCAGGAGGCAGGTCGTCTCCTCCATCCCAACCTGGCCCCGCTCCACCTGACGGCGTGGCTGCTCCGTGGCTAGATGCGGAGGAGGGGAGGTGTACCGAGGCTGTTAGACGGGTCCTGCTTGAAAGCAGGAAGCCGTCCACACAGAGGGCCTACCTGGCTAAGTGGTATCGGTTTTCCTCATGGGCGAGGGAGAGAGGTTCCTCCCCCGCGTCCGCTCCAGCTGGTCCTGGACTACTTCCTGTCCCTTAGGACCCAAGGGCTAGCTCCCTCCTCGATCAGGGTCCACCTGGCGGCCATTTCGGCCTTCCACCCTCTGGTGGCGGGACAGTCAGTGTTCTCCCACCATATGACTTCCAGGTATTTAAAGGGTTTGGACAGAGCGTTCGACTTATGCTAGACCCCCGGTTCCCCCTTGGGACCTGAACCTGGTACTGTCACGCCTCACGGGACCTCCCTTTGAGCCCTTGGCCACTTGTTCCTGGTCCCACTTATCTGAGAAAGTGGCGTTTTTGGTGGCTATCACCTCAGCCCGCAGGGTTTCGGAGCTTAGGGCGCTGACCTCGGAACCCCCGTACACTGCCTTTCATAAGGGGAAGGTCCAGCTTCACCCGCGCCCGGCCTTCCTACCGAAGGTGGTCTCGGCGTTTCACATGGACCAGGACATCTTTCTGCCTGTCCTGTGTCCTAAGCCCCATTCCTCCAATGAGGAACGATGTCTACACATGCTAGATGTGCGTAGGGCGCTGGCCTTTTACTTAGATCGAACAAGGCCATTCCGGACATCCCCTCAGCTTTTCATTGCTACGGCCGAGCGCATGAGAGGGCAACCTGTTTCCACCCAGCGGATTTCCCGCTGGATCACCTCGTGCATACGCACGTGTTATGACCTGGCTGGGGTTCCCCCGCCTCCTATTGTTAAGGCACATTCGACGAGAGCCCAGGCCTCGTCTGCGGCCTATGTGGCTCATGTCCCTATTCAGGACATCTGCAGGGCTGCTACGTGGTCCTCTGTCCATACTTTTGCATCGCACTATGCGATCGTCTCCCAAGCAAGGGACGATACCGGGTTTGGTAGGGCGGTGCTCCACCCGGGTAACCCTTAACCTTTATCATTTAGAACTCCTACCCACCTCCGTCAGGTATAGCTTGGAGTCACCGACTGTGGAATACACAGGAGCAATCACTCGAAGAAGAAAGGACAGTTACCTGTTCTGTAACTGGCGTTCTTCAAGATGTGTTGCTCCTGTCTATTCCACATCCCACCCTCCTTCCCCTCTGTCGGAGTTGTCTGGCAAGAAGGAACTGAGGGTGGGGGGAGCACGCAGCCCCCTTTATAGCGCGATATGTCGGCGCCGCTCCAGGGGTCGCAGCGGTGCTCCCCCACTATGGATGCTGCTAAGGGAAAAACTTCTGGCACCGGTGCACGTGGCGAGCACGCACACCTACTGTGGAATACACAGGAGCAACACATCTCGAAGAACGCCAGTTACGGAACAGGTAACTGTCCTTTATTTTAAGTTAACTTGGTCATAAAAAGAACTGTATGCGTCATTGTAACCATGTTGGTATCAGGATATTAGAGAGACAAGGTGGGTGAGGTAATATCCTTTATTGGACCAACTTCTTTAGTGAGAGAGACAAGCTTTTTGAGCGCACACAGAACTGAAGAAAAGCTCTTTGTAAGCTTGAAAGCTTGTCTCTCTCACCAGTAGAAGTTGGTCCAATAAAAGATGTTACCTCACTCACCTTGTCTCTCTAATAAAAAGAACCGACAGTTGTGATGCACTGAGAATTTATTTTGATTGACTAGGTTGAAAAGGATTGATATGGACTAAGATGTTGGATTTTAGGATCTTTCAGTACTGTGTTTTCCATAACATAGATTACAACATTTTATTATGGGGACATCTGCGGTTATACACTCTGTGATGATCCAACCCATAGTTTGCTACATTTGTCCCTGATGGCCATTGCTTATAGGTCTTACAATACTACAGTGCATATCATGTAATTTAACTTGTATTTCCTCTGTTACATTTTCAGATGTTTACCCCTCTTAATATGACAATTGTGCTGTCTTCATTGGAATTCTGGGCAGATAGTAACAAAATTCCTACAACAGGGGAAGCTGATGAATTATTACGAAGGTTTTTACAGTGGAAAAATATCCATCTTATTCTACGGCCACATGACATAGCATATTTATTTGTGTAAGAAGAACATTACTTTATTATTAAAGATGCACTAGAAATCTTTTAGACTGTCATTGCTTTTAGAAAGAATATATTTATGATCAAGAATCTTTTTTTGTGCTTTAGTTACAGGGACCAACCAAATTATGTAGGGGCATCTTTTGCAGGAAAGCTGTGTCTGAGAAACTATTCTGGAGGGGTTGCTCTGGTATGAGATAATAGAATCTACTTACCTGTATAATTAATATACTGTATCGGTTACTTACAGTTCTGACCTTTGCTTGTAGGGGCAAATCTTGCACCCACCTCTACAACTAAGAAGAATCCCCTGGCAACAGAATCAATGCAGCTATGCTGTGCAGGGGGAACACAGAATTTACAGAGCCATTCAGAGGTTAAACACCATTAGAAGAGGAGCCTTGTCTCACATGCTGTGGAGCAGCATGCAGGGGATGATGAGATAGGAATGGAGCCAAAGGATATCCTTGTCTGGGGGGGTCCTCTGGTCTTCTGCTCTGGGCAGTGGCTCCAAAAAGGCATCACAGATTATTTGAGCCATGGGGCTCGGTAGCCACTCCATAGGATCAGATGGAAAGATTCTTGCCCCTGCACTTCTACTCTGCACTCATCTTGTCTACTTAGCCTAGGCACTGCACAGAGGATTCGACCTCCAGTGAATAAGTACATTAATGAGTGTTTGAATTCAGGATTACATATGTTCTTTGTAACTTTCTTCTAGTCCTGGAAGGGGACAGAGCAGTTGCCTTACAATGGAGTATGCGTTCCTTCATATATTATGTCTAGTACAGATATCTTTGTGTACTTTAGGCAGGGCAGAAAACAAAAAATTTAGATTTTTATCGCAGTTTGTTTCCACAGTTGAATGAACTTTTAGTACTTTCTTTCTTATTATATTAGTATCAAAGAACAATAACACTGGAGACATTTTCAGTCATCATTGCACAGCTGCTCGGGCTTAGTCTGGGAATAGCATATGACGATTCTAGGGACTGTCAGTGTTCAGGATACACCTGCATAATGCATACCAAAGCAGTGTAAGTTTAAAAAAAAAAAATTATTAATTTATGTACCTCACATAGCATTGCATTATTTATTATATTTAGAACCGTTTTAATATGCATACAAGTGCTATCATTCTAAATAATGCCATATTAGGATGTATGTTGACTTTTGTACCTGTATATCACTGCTTTAAATCCATCCCAGTTCATTGGTGGCTGGAAGTTGTGTGTGCACGACTGTGTGTGTTGGGATAGTTTGGATATATGGAAACATACCAACAAAGAATAGGACTGTGACCTATAGATGGATGGATGGATATCTAGATAGATATAGGTATAGGTCACAGTCCTCCTCTTTGTTGGTATGTTTCCATATAACCAAACTATACCAACACAAATGTCATCAGCTGGGAATCTCTGCAGAGGAGCCAACAGACTGACTTACTTTCTCATCCCGGAGATGGTCCCACAAGATTTAAAGCAGATTAGTGACATAGTGCAGGAAAGCTTGCTCTATTGTTGCTTGTCATGTGCATAAAGGGAGTAATTCAGTCTGAGGCTGCCTGTCAGTCGGGTACTTGCCATGAACACTAAGTTGATTTAAAAATCTAAAATAAATAAATAGTACTTTCAGAGACTAACAGTTACAGGAAATATTTCACTTTTCACTTAAGTACAAAATCTCTCTCCTCTTTTAAGTCCTATTTCTCTATCTAAGCAGTTGTTGATAACAATGTGACTTTTAATGTCTATGTTCCCGCTGAGCTACAGTCTTGAAATTAAATACACTAATTCATGATGTGCCACTGAATACAGGAAAAGCCCTAACTTGGACCTTCAGAGATCATACGTTCTTTTATTATCAAATTTCAAATGTTCAGTCACTCTTCGTTTAAAACTAGTCTACACTTCTCCGTTTTCTCCACCATTTTTTTTAAGCTTTCCAGTTTATGCTATGTACAGATGTGTACTCATTATGGGCCCAATCATGCAAACTCTTATGGATGTAAGTAACTTTACTCACATGGTTAGTTCTATTATGTAAAATTACTCGAGGGCCTAAATGTTTCTAATATTAGCATATAATGTAATCTGTCATTAAAATATAATTTACTGACAGTTCCGTCTTCTTGTGAGATGCTATATTGTCTGTGATGACAAGAGGAGGGAAAGGGGAGACTATTGTACCAGCCCCATAAGCTCAGCCCCCCCTCCCAACGTTTGTAATGGAAATGTCTGAACTGGGGTGAAAAGGGAGGGGATGGGGCCCCAGAAAACATGATGTACTGGGGCTCCAAATTTCTCTCAATGGGCTTGTATGTGTTAATACACTCAATTCAATATAACCACTGACGATAGGAAAGAAAAAAAAATCTGATATTTATGTTATAGGTTTCCTAATTGTAACTGCTAGGTTGATTACTATTAAACTAACCTCAATTGCTGTCAACTTTTCACTGAGGAGAATAAACAAGTGTTTTGGAAGAGACAGAAAAGGAAGGGCCTGCAGTATCTTTAGTGGAGAGATTGAGACAGTAACAGTTTAGAAAGGTTTTGCTGCTCTGCTTATGTTTTCCTAGTTTAAAGAGGGCATCCTCCATTGCATGTTATGCCTGCTTCTTGCCCACAGTTGGCTGCAGCATGCAGTCTGCCTGGGACCCAAACACCATTCTAGCACAAACTTGCAAACATACTTTAAAAAATTATATTTATTCCTTCATTGAGGCAGACATGCTGGGTATGAGGCCTCCAATTTGGAGAAATTATGTTAATTTGAGGTTGCCAGTTCTATTTAATTTATTTTAGCCAAGAAGACTGTTGAAGGCAAATCAATGCACTTAAGGTGCCAGGTTAATAGCCACATTCACCCGCAAGGCAGACAGTTGACATATTGAAACAAATCCTTAATTTTGCAACCAAAGTCATTTTTGCTTTATGAGAGTATTTCAGTGACATGAAAGGATATACATTTTACAAAGCATGGAGAATATTTTAACAATGACATTGTACTTTATGTTTTAGACATTCCAGTGGGACAAAGGCCTTTAGCAACTGCAGTATAGGAGACTTTCAAAGTTTCATTGCAAATGGAGAAGGGGAATGCCTTTTGAACAAACCGTATTTGAATGCATCTTATAGAGCTCCCGTCTGTGGCAACAAAAAAGTGGAGGAAGGAGAGGACTGTGACTGTGGCACAAGAAAGGTTAGGAAATAAATCCCTGAAATTTAATATGAATAAATAATTCACAGTTCCACACCTTGAGACTGAAGAGAAAATTAAAAAAATAAGAGATACCTTTTGGGTCCAAGAGGTGCTAACAAGACCTCTGGAAAAACCATTCAACTTTGGAATGCTATGGAGGTGCTTGTTCTCAACCTCGCAGTCAGGGTTGTGTTCTGAAGTGAGCTTTAAAATGGAACATAAATTTCTGTTTTTCTCTAAATGTAGATAGATGTTCAATGTGAAATTTCCCTTTGAATTTCAAATGTAGCTTTATTAGATTTCTTAAATTTATAATAGAAAGTATTTGAAATTATTGTTGTTGAAATTTGTCCATGGCATTCTGCCTTTTTGATTAAGTGACATTTTCAAAATTGATAAACTTGAAGGAAGCTCGTGCAACAGATGTTATTCATTTTAACTGACAGTTTATTCACCAACAGGTACCTGACAGATAAAACCACCATCGTTAACTACGCTTTTATGCCATATTTTATCCCATATCTACGTTTTATGTGCAGCTACTGACAGATAAAACCTTTTCCTTTGGCAGCTATACTTCTGGGGCACAGCTCCAGGAACCACCCCTACAGGCATACCCTTCCTTCACCTCATCTGTCTCCTCTCTGAAATGTTAAGACAAGTGTCGATCTCAATGTATCTACAAGGTACTGTGTACTATAGGTCCAATTCAGGGAAGCACTTAAACATGTGCTTAACTTTAAAAATATGAAAAAGTCAATGAAACTACTCATATAATTAAAGTTAAACACTTGGTTAAGTACTTTGTTGGCTCAGATCAGAGAGCTCAGCACCTTGCAGGATCAAGCCCCATAAAAGCCCTAGGAAATGAATATACAAAAAAATTCATTGTGAAAACAGTTAAGAACACTATATGCTGGTTTTCTATCACACCTTTCGCCAATCTACTCCCTCCCAACAAAACATTCCTCCCTCCACAAGCACACACCCTAACTCTACTACAATTAGTATACACCAGAGACCATCTACCACAATGTTATCTGCTCCTTCTAGGGATGACAGCCTTCCATTACCTCCATTACTAATCTACTCCTTCCCAACACAAAAATATACTATATTAGACATTCACAACTAATGGCATTGGGATGGGGAAGTTCCATAAAAGGATGTGTACAGAAGGGGAGGTTGAGGAGATAGAGTTAAGGATGTGATTCATGATCTGTGGTGTATGGCAGTTGTGATGAAGATAAAATGTGTGCCTATGGGTAGAAGAGTAGAGGACTTGTCTTTTCTGTACTGTAAGGTGACTTTTAATTTAGTTGCTTTTGTGTTTTTGTATTATGTGTGTAACAACCATAACTGTTTTTATATACTAATATTTGGTTTGATACTGGTAGGTCAGCAAATGTTCTCCGGTACTAAAGTTTTGAAACAGTACAGTGACTTTCTGCTTATTTTAGAGACAGTAGCCTCTCTGTAGTTAAGGTTGGAGCTATTGCACCATTCTATTATAAACCCCTCCTAACTTCACCAAAACTTAAACCAGACTAGCTGAAATTGCTTGGTAAACTGGGTGCAAGCAAACAATGTGTTTTAATACTGCCAAATGTAAATGTACACATCAAGGAACAAAGAATGTAAGCCATACTTACAGTATGGGGGACTGTATCCTGCAAAGCAGTGATTCTGAAAATGATTTGGGGTCCTGGTGAATAATCAGCTAAACATGAACTCCCAGTGCGATACTGTGGCCAAAAGGGCTAATGTAGTACTTGAATGCATAAACGGGAATCTTGAGCGGGAATAGAGAGATTATTTTACCTTGTATTTAGTCCTGGTGTGACCACTACTGGGATACTGTGTCCAGTTCTGGCGTTGACAATTCAAGAAGGATGTTGATAATCGGAGCGGGTTCAGAGAAGAGCCAAGAGAATGATTAAAGGATTGAAAAACATGCCTTATAGTGATAGTCTCAAGGAGCTCCATCTATTTAGCTTAACAAAGAGAAGGTTCAAGGGTGACTTGATCGCAGCCTATAAGTACCCACATGGGTAACAAATATTTAATAATGGGCTCTTCAGTCTGGAAGACAATGGCTGGAAGTTGGAGCCAGATAAATTTAGATTGGAAATAAGGCACATATTTTTAACAATGAGGATTTTTAACCATTGGAATATGTAGCGGGGCGGTCACCCCACTCCGGTGTGGCAGGGGTTAAAAACTGCCCTGGGAAAGGGCTGCCCCAGGGAACCAATTAGGAGCGGGTTTGAGACAGCCAATCGGGGCTGGGCTGGGAGTATAAGAAGGCCTAAGGGAGGAGCTGGGTCACAGTCTCTCTCCAGCCTTGGACGGAGAAGGAGCTAGCTGCCTGGGAGCACAGGGTACCTGACGCAGAGCAGTGCTGGGGAAAGGCAAGAGGAGCTGGGGAGCTCCAGGCCGAGGCCTTGGTTAAGGCCGAAGCAGGGATGGGCTACAGAGGTGTAGCCCAGGGATAGGCAGAGGCAGCTGGTCCTACCTCCTTGCCAGTGATGAACGGCCATTATAGACTGCAGTCTGCCCCAGTGAGAGGGGGCTAGATGATGACTGGCAGTAGCCACTGAGGCAAGATGGTCTTAGAGGGTTGGGGGTTCCCCTAGGAGGGGAGACCCAGAGTGTGGGGGTACTGCTGGGGCAGAACCCCGAGGTAAAGGGGCACCAGGGTCCAGGAGGGACGTGGGGGTCTGAAGCAGGTGAGCCACTAGCTGGCAGAGGGCGCTCCAAGGCTGGAAAAGAGCTAATTGCCAGGACGACCAGCAGGAGGTGCCACATCGGTGAGTCTTTTGGCCTTGCTACAGAATAACTTACCAAAAGTGACGGTGGATTCTCTTATCACTGACCATTTAAAAATCAATATTGGATGTTTTTCTAAAAGGTTTGCTGTAGTTCAAACAGGAAATATATTGGGAATTTCTATAGCCCGTGTTATGCAGAAGGTGTTGTAATAATTGGGCCTACAAATTAAAACTTACCTTGTTTGTGGACTCAACTGTGAGAAGTGAAAGTTCATAAAATGTAATAATGCCTATAACAAAATATTGTTAGAAAAATGTGTAAAAGGAGACAGAATGACTAAATTAGTCGAAACAAAAAAGCCTATTAAAGGACTGTGTTAAGATCATGTCTGGCAAACAAGAGAAGTGTGGAACTGGAAAGTAATGAACAAAAATTGGAGTGTCAGAAATTAGGCTTAATTGATGTGTTGAATAAAGAGAAGATGAGCTATTCTGCCTATCACTCCCTTTTGGGGTCCCTAGAAGAAGAGACTTTAGGCGAAGAATCAGGCTGTTTGTCAACCACTGCTGGCTGGGAGATGAGAAAACTGGAAGGAGCGAGCCTCACCATCAGGGTCAAACACATACAGTCTATGGAGGACTGTTGCACCAGCCAGAGTGATCATGGTTGATAGCATCACACTAGGCATTGTATAGTGAAGTTCCCAGATCTGGCTCAGTAATGCGAATCCATGAATCTCTGGGGTGGCCTCATGGATGGCGCCAGGTAGGCCAGGATGTGCACCCCTTCATGTGTCGATGGAGAGTTTGAGAACACGGTGTGCTGGGGTGTTTTTGTCCATTCTGGTGTCTTGGCCGAAGAGCATGCAGTGTTGCTTTTGAATATAATGAGCTATTGAAGGAAGGCCGAATCTTTGTGAGATTGTGACATTTCACACAAAGTCAAACCACTTTGTACTTGGATTTGGCTCAGACAGCACATATGGAATGCCTCTAGCTCAGAGGTGGGCAAACTACGGCCCTCAGGCCACATCCGGCCCGTGGAACTGTTCTGCCCGGCCCCTGAGCTCCTGCCCCGGGAGGCTAGCCCCCGGCCCCTCCCCTGCTCTTCCCCCTCCCCCGCAGCCTCAGCTCACTGCGCCGTGGGTGCAATGCTCTGGGCGGCGGGGCTGCGAGCTCCTGGGGCAATGCAGCTGCAGAGCTCCGCTTGATCCAGTGCTCTGTGCTGCGCAGTGCGTGGGTGGCTCCAGCCGGGTGACATGGCTGTAGCACTGCCAGCCACCGGTGCTCCAGGCAGCGTGGTACGGGGGCAGGGAGCGGAGGAGGGGGGTTGGATAGAAGGCAGAGGAGTTCGGAGGGTGGTCAGGGACCGGGGGTGTGGATGTGGGTGGGGGCGGTCAGAGGGTGGGGAACAGGGGGGTTGAATGGGGGC